TGGGATGGCTCTAGGTGGCAAAGGCTGGGCCCGCGGTAGCGGTGTGTCGGCCCATGAACCGGGTCCTACTGATATCTTACCAAACTGTTCAGCAGTTAAGTTAGCTTTTATATTTGGTACCTGTACGCTCGGTGGCCGGTTAGACGACCGAGTTGAAGATCCGCCTGACCGGGATTCCGGTCATGAGTATGGGTGTGGTCGATGGCTTCGGTCGGAGTCGTCGGAGCGGTCGGTGCGTCGTCGTTCCGATCCATCCTTCTGTGGTGACGCTGTCGCGAGACGAATTACGGTACGTTAGACTCCTACCTACTAGTCCAATAATTTAATAAACTAACCGAGCATTTAAGTGTACATAATAGCTACTTCTAAGCTATTAGAGCTACTTCTAAGCTAATGAATAGATTTGTTAGTTAGAGTTATTTAGACTAATTCTAAGTCTATTTATCGTCATTCTGTCCAGCCTTATCAACCGCCTTGTCCAATACACTCGGTGTGAGCGTATTGGACTCCTGCCTTTTGCTCGTTGAGCGTTTTTCTGATTCTCGTCCCGCCGTTATGCGGTCGAGTAGGTCTTTAACAGCTTTGTCCTCTTCTAGAACATGCTGAGCCTTAAGGGTTGCCTTAGGCTTTTTAGGCGAATTTGGTCTTTTAGGCTTGTCCTTAGTTGCTGGGGCCTGCTTAGGCTCCTCAGGTTTGGACTTTCAAATACGGCTATCACTTTTTCAGGTTCCGCAGGTGCTGACTCAAGATCGATGACGGCTAAAGGCTGGTTTTAAAGTTTGGTCAATGCTGGTGTCTAGAAGTCCGATTTGGTCTTTCGAGGCCGACCACGGCCACGCTTTGGGGCCGGGTCTTCAGCTTCTGGTTCGGGCCGGTTAAGGCCAGGAATTTGCTGCTCCGTCATTTCCTGCTCCGCCACGAGTTTCTTGAAAGGGCTCTTCATGGCTTTGGCTTCTGCAGCAGCTCTTCCAACTTTTGGTTTGGTGGGAGTCCTCCTGTTTGTCCCGACTCTGTCTTCTTCAGGTCTTTGTTTCTGCACCTTCCCGACGCTGTGTCTACAGGTTCGGCGTCGCCGCCCTTCTTTTTAGTTGATCGAGTGATTCGGCGACTTGGGCCGTCCGGGTTCAGGTACAGCTTCACGTGATCGACTGTGTTCCACATACGGTGTGCTCTGCACCGATGTCCCACTCTCGGGTCCAGTATGTGTTTGGCTTAGGAATTCCGAGAACAATGTAGATGCCGTCGTAACAGCGATGTACCGGTACTTCGTGGTTTCAGTCACCGGTTGCGGTCCTTTGAAGTCGGCATGCACGCCGTACCAAGGTGCGACAGCCTCGGTCGGCTGCAGCTTACCGTAGGTAGCTCGCCGCGGTACTTTGCCGAAGATGTATGTCTGACATCGGTCGATTTAGTCGAGTATGTCGCTGCTTATACGGTCTCAGTAGTATCTGAGCTTGGCGGCTTCAGTGGTTTTGCGGTATCCAGAGTGGTTTCCAGTTGTCATGGAGAGACTGGATGATGGTTTTCCGCATAAAAAGTGGGACAACGAATCTCCTTTCGAGTTTCGCGTTGATGTTGGTGAGTTGATAGAGCATATTTTTGTCCATCTGGTAATGTTCAGGCAGTTTGGACCGTTTGTTCATTTCTGTCTGATGTTCCAGCTCATGGATTTTTTTGGGAAGGGTTGGGTCTCTGTGTTGCATCCAACGCTGTTTTTGCGCGGTGCGGTCTGTTACCTTTTCTGGACATGGCGGGACCACCGGGTACGGTTCGTCTGGTTTAGGCGCCGGCACACTGATGACCTCTATGTCCGCCGTGCTAAATTCATTCCAATCACTGATTGCGCTACAATCAGGGAGGAGAGGCTTTTCCCAATTATCGGGTCCTTACCGGTGATTTGCAACCTACGCACCTTTATGATGCGTGCTGGGATTTCATCTTTGTAGTCCTCGAAGTTGGGGACTTGGTCCAACTCTTCGTGTGGGCCCTTGTCGTCGTCCGGTTCGATTGGCAATCTGGACAACGCATCGGCGTTATCACAGAAGGTGCCTGGCTTGTACTCAATGGTGATGTCCCGTCCCTGCATGGCGAAAGCCTATCAAATTAAACGTGGGTTGATGCCGGGTCGGTTGGACTCGCATCTGAGCAGATTGGTCAGGGCTCTGTGGTCCGTCCTTACGGTGAAAGGTCCGTGGTCGATATAGTGTTCAAACTTTTGCACTGCCCACACTACGGCTAAGCATTCACATTCGGTCACGCGGTAGTTCTTCTCAGCTCCGTGTAGGACCCGACTCGCGTAGGCGAAGGGACTCGAGTCTGAGTATGGCTCCGATGCCTGCGCTACTTGCATCACATTCGGTGGTGGTTTGCTTCGTGGCATCGAATTTGGCCAAGATAGGGGCTTCCGTTAGGGCCTTCTTAATTTCGTTGAACTCGGCAGTGTGAGAGTCAGTCCAGTCGTTCTTGACCGAATTTTCCTTTCGCAGAACTTCGTACGTCTTAGGAAGTTTTCGGGGCGTAGCCCTGGATAAAAGTCCGGTAGTAGTTAGCTAATCAAGGAAAGAGCGAAGTTGGCGCACAATCTTGGGCGGTAGTTTCTCGGCGATGGCCGCTACTTTTTCTGGGTCAATGTGGACACCGTCCTTGCCGAAGATGTGTCAAAGGAACTGGAGTTTTCCATTCCAAATTCGCACTTTGACGGTTTTATTGTGAATCTGACGTCTCAAGGCATATGAGCGTATTTCAAAACGCTTGCCTGAATTCATCAAAAGTCACGTAGTCACGTCACGTCGTCGATGTATGCGAAGTCACCACCTTTCTTCCGGGCCGGTGCTATGATCTTGTCCATGGTTATTTAAAATGTAGCTGGCCCGTTGCAGACGCGAAACAGCATTCGTTAGAACCGATACATCACTTCTGGAGTAACAAGGTAGTGTAGTCCATTGACGCTGGATCCATTGGGATTTCCCAGAATCCGGACGGACAATCTTCCTTGCCGTAATAGGCGTTTCCTGCAGACTGATCCAGAAGTTCATCTGGATTGGGCAGAGAATAGTTGTTCTTTTTGGTCACCGAGTTCGGCTTTATGTAGTTTATGCAAAACCGGGTGCCCATGGTCCCGTCGCCGTTTTTCTTCGAAGCGAGGACCACTGGGAAATTTCACGCTGCCATGGACAGTTCAATCACGCTTGGGTACAGCATTTCCTGGACGTGTTTATTAATGAATTTCCATTCCTTCCAACTCGTTCGGTTTGGGTTCATCGTAATTGGTGCAACGTCGCCCACTTCTATGACGTGGGTGATTCCCTTGACGTCGCCGAAAGGTTTTTTGGACGTTGGGAATATGGCCCTGAGTTCCTATAAATCCTGCCGAAGTAAAGCGGTTTGCTCCTTGGTCAGGTGGTCGCCAGAATGTGCGGTGGCGATATGTGCGCGAATTTCGCGCTCAACTTCAGGATCCTACTCTCCGGTTTGGATGGAGTTAATGCGGGCGAATTCTTTCTCCGTGACTTCTTCGTATGGCTCCGCTCGGCCCATGTCCACTCCCTTCCGGAGTATCTGGGGCTCTTTGGAGTAGTAAACACCAATATGGTGTAACTCTTGCCGTTATGCTGGACTGGTCCGTCGAGCATGGCCTGGCTCCGTTTGGTGTCCTGGCTTCCGAGGTACCTTAATCTCTGCCTTGGGGCCATATCGAAGTCAATGTTGACGACGACCAGTGTTATGGTCTCCAGTGGGAGTTCGACCTTTACGGCCGACCCGACCTTGGCGTAGTCATTAATGGTGCGGTACCGGTTTGGGTTATGTCCTCCGGCTCCTTTGGCCATGGTAAGGCGTTGGCGGTGGGTATAAACCAATCTACGCCATCCTCCGTGATGTCCGGCTCATACATGTCACTACATTACATTTGGCCAATTCTTCCACCTTTACGAAGGACTTGGTCTCGTAGAGACTTATTCTGGACCTGAATCCACGCATATTCTTCGTGTCGAGTTTTGACTTCCGCCTCGATCGGTAAGATCAGGCGGTGTGGTCGTCTCAAAGATTTAGGTCTACCCGGGTCCACAGTCCGATAAGCCCGAACCTTAATCCAGCAAGTTGAGTAAGCTGGAAGGGTGTACCGCTGATGAACGAACACGACTTCTCTCTCCTCTTTGAGGCAGTCGATGTGACGTTCGATCCGCAGTTTGCGGATTACCGGTGCCTCAGCTCGGAGTTGGAGAATGGCTGCGTCATCTACGTCGTCACCTTATTTCTCCGATTATTGGTTGTCGGAACCAGTGTCGCTTGAGCTTTGGACATCCGAATCGGTGGATCGGGTTTGTCGTCCTGCTCCGGCGTTGGCTCGCCGTTAGCCTCGGTAGAGGCTGGTGCGCCCCGGTCACCGTTGGTGCCGGTTTGATCGGAGGGTTCTCTTCTCGGTTCCCTGGCATTCCGGTTTCGACTTTCTGCTTCTCAGGTTCGTGCGGTTCAGCCGAAGTAGTTGGACGGTCCCCGTTAGGGAGCGGCGAGGCTGGTCGGCCTCCTGTCCACCGTTGAGCAGCACGGGTCTGTATGTCCCGTACTACTGTTTCAACGCCGTCTCCACACAGAGGACAAGTCAGTTAAACTTTCTCTGTTGAAGGGTCCTGCGTTTGGTCGCAGGTTTCCCTCCTTTGGTCTCCCAGTTCTGGGTGTGGACCATCAATGGAGCGCACTAAAGTTCCATTGCACTGACCGTGTACAGCGTGTACTTAACACGCGCAATGCATGGATAAGTCAACGATGCCCAACGGAAAACCTAGTCGAGACTAGATTTACCGTTGGGCAATGTTGCCTTATTAAAGTGGGCATGTGTTGACTGTTGCAACAAACCAATGCACAACGCTTGCGTTATCTCTGAATGACACATAGGAGCATGACGCACAGTCCGATGGGCTGCATTATCTTTTGGCAGTCAGAACTGAAAGTACCTATTGTTAATTTTATTTTTCCGGTATTAGAGTAATACGTAGTCCATTATCCATGAAAGTACATTAAATTTATTTATAATGTTGAAGTGTGATGCATCAAAAGCAGCAGGGACGCTATTTCTGTGAAATTTTTAAAACGTTTCTCTTAAATCCACTTTTATAGCGCCGTAGCATCTTTAGGTTGCCTCGAACGTTCTTCCATCCGCGTCGTATGCTGCTCCACGTTAGAACATCCGCAAAAATTAACAGGGTCACTCCAGATAATACCAATGTGGCTCCAATGACATCGACCGCCGTTTGCTGTCGGTCGTTCCAACAACGACCTAACACAAATAACCGTAAGGTAAAATCAGAATAAGTTATACTGAAAAAATCAAAGCGACCTTAAGAAATTACGGGCAGGCAGGTATCAACAAACAGTTTCCAAAATAATTGAAAAATTATGTGTTGCAATGGCAAGTCTGATGTCATGTGGGCAGCCTTACGGTAAGTTATTGGGACTATGTTAGTGCATGACAACGATATGTTGTGTTATTGGCTCCACATTGCATAATGTTACGTTGTCATATTATCAGTAGATTCATATATCCTTACGTCCTTATTTTTTGGAAAATATCTCCTAAATCAAGATTGATTTTTTCAGTAAGTTGATAATTTTACAAAATAGAGCATTGCAGAAACGTTCCTACCTTTATCTTCAAAAAAATCTTGAGTTTTGGAGAAGGTCTAAAAAAATTTTCAGAAGTTGTAGTACTTAAAGATAGTTAGTACTTAAAGGTTGTTACTTTTGGAAATTATCTCATAAATCAACATTGATTTTTCCATTAAGGTGTTAATTTTATAAAATAGAGCACCTTTCAAAGCTTCCTACCTGCAGCTTGGAAAAATTTTGGTTTCCGAAACGTTTTCAAAAACCCTTTCAAACTTCCTGTACTTAGCGTTTTAAGTTCATCGAAATTTCCAGTAAATTCTGGAAACGTATCGAATAAGCAAATACAAAGTACAAGTTTCGCAGCTTAGCAACCTAAACTACAGATCTGTATAGTTATTTAAATTGTCAATTCCATCAAAATTATAATTTTTTTAATTCTTGAAACCTTTAAAGGTGCTTTTGAAACACGTTCGGATACCTCAGAATAACTATAAATTTTTCCACCAAAGTCGCATCCAAAGCTTTTACATTTCAAGAATTTCTAAGTATTTCTAAATATTTCGACTCAGCCCCGCGCAGCGGGGCCGTTACCTCTAATTTTTTGAGCCTCCAGAGTTTCGAAATTTTAAAAATGTCTAGGAATGTCTGAGTACTTCAATATCTCACGGTCTTAATTGTCTAATTTATATGTAATTTCTAGATATCTAATTGCCGGCTCGCGGTCTGTTTTTGTATTCACTCTCGTACGGCTCTGTGATACTAGTGGTAGCTTGGGCACTCACTAACCTCGAAATCTGCTAAATATGTATTTATTTTATTTTAATAAACACTGAAGAGCTTGACTGATGGCTGAAAAATCTTACAATTACAGTAGTAGCAAAAGATGCAGCATGTGAGGTTACCTTGGGCGACCGTTAACTGTTCCCCACAAGTTTCCATTGATTCTGCGCTGAAAAATGGTTTTCTATGGGCATCGTGTAAATGATCCCACTCCATCCATTTTATCACCGTTTAAATATTGTCTGTCGTACCAAAAATTCCAGTTTTCAGTACTTTAGATCGGCAGTATAAAGTTACGATAAAAACGTTAAAAAGAACCACGAAAAAAGAAAAATTACGGAGGCTTTCACAGTTTTCATAAAACTGGTTGAATTTAACCGGAAAGCTTGCAAACCAATAAACTTTCCACATTTCTACATGTTTAAAATATTTTCGTAGCTAGCTTCGCAAAGGTTTTATACTTGAAATATTTCTCAAAATTTTTTTTATTGCTGTTACAAAGTACGAGTATATTTTGTATTTCTTTCATTCTTCCATACCTCAAACACAACTGGTCGCGCGCTAGCGCGACCGACACTTGTATATAAGTAAGTACGTCAGAGAACCGAAGTAAAGACGTGACAAAACTTGGCGTGAAGGCCATTTTTGTGGTATTCATCAAATGTCTCTGGACGATATTGGTATTGATATTGCCACGAACGTGTTAACCACGTCCGGCCCGTCTACGATGGCAAAAGCAAAGGAATTCCCGACGCTGCTGAAGTTCGAGCCTGGCTCCACGGTGTGGAAAGCATGGCGTTCCCGTTATAACAACTATGTTAAAATACAGGAACTCAAAACGGAGGACGATCAGAAAGGCTGCTACTGGACTCATTAGGAGTGGAAGTACATGAGATGCTGTTTGCCATATGTCACCCACAAGATCCCGCAGAGCTAAAGCTGGAATGCTGGATGAAATCATTGCCCATCTCGAGCATGCATACGTAAAGAAGACACTGCAGTCAACAAAATGGGCGAACTTTTTCCTCCTGAAGCAGGAAGTTGGTGAAACCCTTTTGTATTTTGCCAATAAGCTGCGGAGGAAGGCATTGTGTGTTGTGTTCTTTTCCGGCGGACGCGTTGGAGGGGAACATGCGTGCGGCCTTCCTAAACGGAGTCCAAAATGAAGCGACGCAGGCTGGCAGCAGCGGCGCATGCTACGCGTGTGGCGGAAAAGGGCATGTGAAGGCCGATTGCTGGGCGAAGGAGGCGACGTGCAGAAAGTGTGGCAAGAAAGGCCACGTCGCAAAGGCGTGCAAGTCTCCGCCAAAGGGCGACAGAGGCGGCGGTAACCGTCGGACGTGGACAGTGCAAAAAGACTTCGACGTCCTGGCTATCGGTTAAGAAGTGGGTGGATCGATTCGGGTACTATCACCTTGAATGATGCCCCTGTATCCATGCTGTTGGATACGGGATCAGGTATGACGATCATCACGGCGAGCACGTGGAGACAGATCGGCTCGCCGAAGCTGACGCCTTATGCCACACCACTACGAAATTTTACGGGCCATCCGATCCAGGTAATCGGAAGTGCAACGATGCCTGTAGTATATGGACGGACGAAGAAGTCATTACCCGTCGTCGTGGTGGCGCGTGGGGCGACGTGCTGGGACGCGACTGGCCTTAGACCTTAACCACCTGAGTCTAAAAGAGCTGCAAGTGTTTGCGGTTTCAAAGGTCACCGCCCGTACAACTGTTCAGAGCATCCTGGATCGCCACAGCAGCGTATTTCGCAAGGAACTTGGGCACTGCAAGGCGTTTAAGGCTCACCTCTACCTAAAGGAAGGCGCGAAGCCGGTCTTTTGGAAGCCACGGACGGTCCCGTTCGCCTATCGGGACGCAGTGGAGAAAGACCTGGACCGCTTGATGGTAAGAGGGATACTCACGCCTGTGGAGCATGCGGACTGGGCTGCACCTATTGTTGGAACGCAGAAGCGAGCAGGAGACATCCGCACGTGTGCTGACATGAGCACAGAATTGAATGACTCGCTCGACGTGCAAACCTATCCGCTGCCCACCTCCAACGAGTTGTTTGCTAAGTTGAACGGGGGCGACTGGATCTGACAGAAGCGTATGCGCAAATAGAGCTGGACGACGAAAGTAAGCAGCTTGTTATCATCAACACGCGTAAGGGTCTGTTCAGGTACAACCGTTTGCCGTTTGGAGTTGCAAGCGGACCAAGCATATTCCAACAGATCATTGAGCGCATACTGCAAGGCTGTGAGGGCGTGGCAGTGTACATTGACGACATTATCGTCACGGGCAAGACGGACGAAAAACACAAGCGAAACTTGGAAGCGGAGTCAGAACGCCTGGAGAAGTACGGACTACGCGTGAAACTGTCGAAGTCCAGATTCATGCAGGAATCGGTCGAATATCTGGGTTTTGTGGTGGACCACCGCGGGCGACACATTTTCCAGGATCGCGTGAAGGCACTGGTGGATATGAAGATGCCCACCAACGTCAGTGAGTTACGTGCTTACTTGGGCATGGTAAATCACTAAGCCAAGTTCGTACGGAACCTGTCCGCAAAGCGCAGTCAGTTCCACCGTCTATTAAAGTCCGGCGCACCCTGGGAATGGACGACAGATTGTGCGAAGCAGTTTCAGGCACTCAAGGAAGAAATTGTCCATGCAACGTTCCTGGTGCATTTCAATCCCGCAGTGCCGTTGGTGCTGGCAGCGGATGCGTCGCAGTATGGCGTGGGCGCGGTTCTGTGTCACCGTTTTCCCGGCGGAACGGAAAGGCCGACTGCGCACGCGTCCAAGAGCCTGTCAGCGGCGGAAAAGAATTACGGACAGATTGAAAAGAAGCGCTCGCGCTAGTCTACGGCTGTAAGAAATTCCATCAGTACGTGACCGGCAGGAAGTTTACGCTGTTAACGGATCACAAGCCGTTACTGAGCGTCTTCGGCAAGCGAAAAGGTGTCCCAGTGGTCACGGCCAATCGTCTTCAGCGGTGGGCGTTGTTGCTCATGGGATACAGCTTTTTCATAGAGTACCGGCGCACCGAGAAGTTTGGTCAAGCAGATGGCTTCAGCCGACTGCCGCTCCACTCCACGCAGCTGGAGAAATACCCAAACCTGGGGATGGACAACGTAGTAAGCGCGCTGCATGTGGAAAGTGCCGAAAACATACCCATGTCCGTGGAAGATATCGCAGGGGAAACGGCTGCCGATGCGGAGCTCCAGGAAGTACGCCAGTGTATCAGTCGCGGCTGCCGGAGTCCGTAAGCGATCGAATGCGACCGTACAAGAACGTACAGCATGAGCTCAGTGTGCTGAATGGCTGTGTGTGCTGGGGATCGCGCACGGTTATTCCCGAGAAGTATCGTGCCAGGATACTGAAGCACCTACACGCAGCACAGATGGGCGCCGGGAAAATGAAAGGTGAAGCGCGAGGCTACTGTTGGTGGCCATCGATGGAACGGAAGATCGAGCAAGTCGCCAAGGACTGCCGAATATACATGTACCGCTTGGGCAAACAAAGACGAGGTAGCTTTAGAACACATGGGAATTTTGAGCTTTGACCAGCCTCTGGCGATTGCAAACTGTAAGGTGCACATTGGTGATGAGCATATTCTTCCGGGTTACATCCGGTTGCTAGTGCGTTCCGAAAAGTGCTAGTGACCAACAATATCTAAATCGGCGCCAATCTCCAGTGCAGCTGGACCATCCCCCCGCTTTTCCGATAATGGCACCCGCGGTTGAATCCAGAAAAAGTGCCACTGCGTGCAATACAGCAACTAGGCGTGCCCGTACTGCAGCAGTGTAATATGCTAAACTGTAAAAAGAGTACTAGTATTTGTACACAGTACCATATGACTTATGAGACTGTAATAAAAGTTTCAGGAAGCAGAATTGCTACTAGCATCGTTTTTTTATATTTCTTTACCTGTAGTAGTGGTCACAATACATGGAAACGAGTTTTGGTAGTTTTTAAGTGTTTGCTGACCAGTGGTCAATGTGTTGACCACTTCTATACTGCTGCTTTAAAGTAAGTACTTTTTTGTGCTATTTAATGAACTAATTGCTTCTACTTAATTTCTGTTCGCATAATTATTACAAAATTAAATATTTTTATGCTATAGACCCTCCATGGGCATTGGCGTTGGCAAGGCGACATAGTCAGCACCGCTGACCTATGGTCAGCGCAAGCTCACAAAAAATTCCCCTTCTTAATTGATTTTTTTCGTCGGGAAATCCCAATTTTCAAAAGGAAACTCGCACTCCTTCGGGTACCGCCCGCTGGAGGGTTAATGTATAACCATAAGATACGCGTGCCGCACCTCGTTCATACCAGTGTTGGCCCGTTTTTTGACGGGGCCGGAAAATTACGGGAAAGTCTCCCGTTCCGTTACCCGTTTCCGTAGAAAAACGGGAACGGGTCTGACGTCTTACGGAACGGAACCGGCCGGGAACTGAACGGCTGTTCTTACGGGAAAAATCCCGTTCCCGTTTCCGTTGATAAAAAAAACTTACAGATAAAAATTACGAAATCACAGTCATGTTATGAATTTACGATTGCCTAATGGCTGATGTAGTTAGGGTGGGTCTCAGATTGGAAGCGAATCTAGTGATGATACAGCAGTTCCCACCTCGCGAGGTGCCTTCGCGTATCGTATCTGTAGGCGCGGTCACTGCAAACAGCCACCTCGTGCGGTTAAGCAACCGTACCATAGCGAGATTCGCGTCGAATTTGAGGCCCACCCTTAGCATTTACGGTAACTGTAAGCACTAGTAGACCCTGTACACTGAAGCTGGGGGCTGGAAAACTCGAGCTTTTTACATGTTAGCAACCCGGTATCTTCTGCTCTATATAATAATTGTAATACTAGTACAAATCAATTCAGTGGAAACTAAAATTGTTGAAACAAGTAGAATGCGTGTAAGATCCGCATCGCACCGTCTACTTCCTGTTCCTTTTGTGTTTGTTTGATAATTTTTTGGATATTTATCAGTTTATGGATCTTCAAAAGTGACAGGGCAAGCTTTAACTATGAAATGTAGCCATTTCTTTAGGTAATTTCAATTTTGTTAGGAAGTGAGCAAAATATGAGAAATTCGAATTAATTTATTCTGCTCATTAAAAATTCGGTTTCCGCAAGTTTTTAATTTTGCTGTACATTATCTACTGGATACAGTCTACTTCTGCACCACAGTTTGCGCGGGGTCTACTAATCAATATTATATTATCAGGGCCGTCGCGAGGGCGCACCCCCCCCCCTTATCGGAGCGGGAAAACGAGAAAAGAGTGCGCCGGGAGCTGGCATAACTGGCGCTGACGCGGAAAAATCGAATTGGCGCACCGAAAATAACCGAAGAAAGCGTAGAAAGTGGCTTTTGTGAACCACTTTCATACGATCTTTTTTAATTTTTGAGGCATTTTCGAACTGGCGCGCGACCGCGCGCCCCCTCCTACATCGAACCTCTCGACGGCCCAATATTATTATCTGTACTACAGAGGGTGATTTTGCAATATGCTTCCACTTTATTTATGATTTTATTGCCATCCTCTCCGTGCATATGTTATTCTTAGAGCCGTTAAGTTTGAAAGCCCTTTCTCTTAGCGATCATTACAGATTAATTTTAAGAAATATGAAACAAATTTGAATACGGTGGGATTTTGCAAACCGACAAGGGTCTGTGCGCAACACTGTAACATTTCGCTAAACGTTTTCCTATGGTTTCCATTAAAAATTTGCTAAAAATCGTCATCAAATCATAATCTATGGGTGCCAGGTTTAGTGAACTGTTACATTATGTGGCCTTCAGAAAACATCTGGCTTCGTGAGATTCTAGGCACTGGTACGCTGTGTTAGCTTCGTGAACTGGAAGATAGCCATTTTGACTGTTCCCCTTGCGTTCCTCCCCGAGCTGCAAATCTAGACTGCTTTTCCTGAGGAGTTTTTTAAGCGACTTTTTAGTATAGATATTTACGGTGGTTTTAAAACTGGGAGAGACTACATGCACTGCATTATTGTCCCGGTAAATAATTTCGGAAAACAAACATCATTCGTTTTCGTTTTTTACCAAATTTTGATTTTTTGTTATTACGATATTTAAAAGTGGCAGCACGGAATTTTGTATCTCCCGTCCGGATAAAGAAGCTACATCTGCGCGTCACCCAGTGCGATGGTCTGTGTCAAATTTCAGGAAATAAGGAAACTGGCAAAAAGATTTCCTCGTCAAAAATTTGTTTTAGTTTGGTAAACTGGGCGTTCCGCTTTGAAATCACTTTTGAGTGCCACTTACTTCTTTTTTCGAATTCAACTAATGATGAATTATAAAGCACATATTGAATTATTTTTAAGCGACAAGAAGTGAAGGAAAGAACAGGGGAGAGAATTACTGCAACTTTGTGTCCGTGCTGGAAGCATATTGCGAAATCACCCTCTGTACATTTTAAATTTTTTTGAAAAATTTTAAAAACGGGCTCCGGGCCGGGAAACGGCGGCGTTTTGGTAAACGGGACGGCTAACGGGACGGGAAGGCCGGCTAACGGGACGGTAACGGGCCGGGAGCCGAAATTTTGAAACGGGCCAACACTGGTTCATACACCTTATGAGCCATATATATGGCCTCGTCCCGAATTCAAAGCGAATCTCGTTGCGATACAGCAACTCCACCTCTCGAGGTGGCTTCGCGTACCGTATCTGTGCGCGTGGCCACTAAATCCAGCTACCTCGTGCGGTTGAGCAACCGTAATAATAGCGAAATTCGCTTTGAATTCGGGACCAGACCACACACAAGCCAGTTTCCGGATGGTTCTGACGTCACTGGTTTGTATGTACAGATTCCGTGTATATAAGGGGAAAAACTAAGCGTCTTCCACCGTTCCCCTGTACTGCTGCCGTCACCCCCCTGGAGTATGACGTTACGGCAGTACATACAGTTAAACTGGCGCGGTACGTAAGCGCCATGTTCAGCCACAACGTCCTCCAGTCGGGTGACGGCAGCAGTACAGGGGAACGGTGGAAGATGCTTTAGTTTTTCCCCCTATATAAAAACACGTTTGTCACGTAATATACACGCTTCTCACCGCACCCACTATATCGGTGAAGATTTCCAACGCCTGCTTTCCCGGATGGTTTTTGCCACTTGTCAAATTTTTCCTATTCACTTTTCATGTAGCGCAAGATAGTATCAAGTTTAGAAATTGTCACTCTATAATAAACAAAATGATCTAGTCATTCCGCTTTGTCAGGAAAATAGGAATTGTTTGTGACTTGGTGCCAAAAATCGAGTGGTAAGCAGCACACGGACCGTGAAAAAGTGGTAAGTTCTTTGAAAATAATTCCTATTTAGAAGTTCTTCAGTGTCTTTGGTGGGCAGCATTTGTCGTAAAATATGGTTTTCATGGGCGCAACGACTGCAAGGCGGGAAAATTGGTAAAGGAAAAAATCGTGGTCTTGCGAAAGAATAAAGTTTTCATAAACGGTTTATGAAAACTTTAAGTTTTCATAAACCTCTTCTCAAACCTCTTCTGATGATGATGACAAACCTCTTCTCAAAATGTTTTGCAATCACTACAGTATTAGGGATACTATTTGCAGTTGTTACTTTAAAATATCGACAAAAGCAATTCGTGATTCTCGCCGCGATTGCAGACTGGCAGTGTGTCATTTTGACGTCACTAACAGACAGGGATTTTACTGTGCGCCAACAGGAGAACTACGCATGCGCTCTGTTTCTGTTCGGGTGCTGTCATATGCGCGGTGGTGCAATACCGTGGTCATAGCACTGGCGCTTGATTTAAGAATACTGTAAACATTTTTATCACGCGTTTTTTCCTCGTTTGCAGAGGATGGTTTTCTGTGAATTTTCATGTGTCTGCCCAATTAACAAACAGCATAGTTTGCGAACGCGCGCTGTTTAAAGATTGCCGGGATAAGCACTTGTTGTTATGTGCCTACGATGACTTCCCGTCGCACCTGAGTCGCACGGCTCCCAACCGCCCCAGGGCGCCATCCCGGCGAGAATCATCAATTCCCAAAGGAAGTGAGAAAAAAACCATTACGTTAAAAAAGGATTGCAAGCTATGAGTAAGTGGCACAAGCCTTTCCATTTTTTGTTTATTCTTTTGCTCAAGGAAACTTTTAATTTATTTCGCTGAATAGTATGCATGATCTCCTATCCAAAAAAACTATTTCACTTGTGTGTTACTTCAAATGGTCGGGAGGCAAAATAGGGAAACTTACTAAGTCCTTTGACAGACCTGTGCAGTTATGGAAAACTGACCCAGAGTTAGAGTTAGGAGTTATAGGGAGCGTGCGAGTTACGCTACGAGTTACGCTATTAATGCAAGTAAACCGAGTTTCGAGTTATTCAGCGAGTTACGCTACCATAGACAATACATACAATTTTTGAGCGAGTTACGCTAGAGTTAAGTTTTCGGGGAGGCGAGTTACGCTTCAGAGTTACGTTATAACTCGATAACTCGAAAATAACTCGCGTTACGTTAAATAGTTAAAAATAACTGCACAGGTCTGGACTCCTTTGTGTAATTAGAACAGCTAGAGGCCCTAGACTAAAACAAAATCCACCTGAAGCACCCGCCGGCCGCATATGGTGCTACGGTAGTTAGATGATTCCAAATTTCTAATATCAGTTAGTTTCATTAAGTAATTAAAAACTGCTCGCAGGTACCGGGTGGCCGAACAAAATGGCCCTCTCCGCTTTTGGTTTGTCCCTCGCAAACTACTTCGCGTACTGTAAACTGCTTTGGTTTATTCGATAGACAATTTTATAATCTACAAGACCCAATAAAACGTTTTTCGAAAAATCGAGAGTTCCTCGTTAACAATGGCGCGAAGCGAAAAGTGTCGAAATTTTTAATGTCCCAGCTCGCAAAGTTGGAAACTTCGTCTCACTTTGTTTTCGTGCGTAATATTTTAATTTTTTTAAACTGTTTTATCTAGAGAAGGACTTCCTTTTTCGATATGGAAAAAATTGTTGGCATGGTGTTTGCGCTGGAGAAGCTATGCGCTGAACAAACGTTTTGACTTTTTTAAAAAATCACAAGTTTTTCACTTTGTTATTTTGAGTATTTTGATTACAATTTTTTTGTTCATGCCAGGGTGCAGCAACAACCCCCATTTCAACTGGCATTTGTAGGTGGATGGTTGCCCTTTCAAACACGCGTTTGAACCAGGACTGCTTTCGAAGCGATGGTTTAATAATGTTTTCAAAAAACTTGTTACCCCGTTTCATGAGAATCAAATGTGAGGAGTATCAAATCTTTTCGCCCCCTGGCCAGACAGGGTCACTAGAATGTCGGTGCTTTTTTACAGTGAAAAAACGAGAAACAATCCCCTCTTTCCGAAACAGTAACCTGATAAACACTAACATACTTATTTGAATAACTATAATTTTAATTTTAAAATAGGAAAATTGGAAGTTCTTTTTCCAGGACATCATCCATCTCTACCCATTTTTTAAAAACAATTCATAAAAAAGCGAAATCTTCTTACACCAATGGCTTGACATAACTTTTATGTACTATTTGTATTGCTCTTTTGAATAAAACTAATTTCATCTCAATCAAGCACTGGAGAGACACAGCACACTTAATAAACCAGAGGGCCAAAGCATCTGTAGAATTACGTATTTTTCGGAGAAAATTACTCTAGTGTTTCCGCTCCTGACAATCGCCACCGACGATCCTTGCTGTGTGAGAGCACTCTTGTTTTTTATAACCTTTTCTCATTTGCAGGCTGCATTATCGATGGGATTTGGATGAAAGGCGTCATTTGTATCACGGAGTCATTATTTTGGACACGTCTTCCAGACAAATGGCGTCTTTGATAACACAATCGGGAGAGACATTCAGTGCACCGGTAAGTCGTGTAATTTAAGGTATACTTCTATTCATACTTCGTTTATTTGGAGAAATGCACGCGAAATACAAAACTTTGTCTTTGGAGTATGAATTCATCCGAAATATATATCTGACATACATGTTTCTTCTAAGTACTAAGTATGAATGCTCAGAAATTTTGAAGAAACGTTTAGTTTCTGGAAACATTTCAGATGTACTGTATTTGGATGTATTTGCAATGTATGCTCTGGACATTATTTGAACAGAGCTCTGTACGTGGCAAACCGAATATCGTACAAAGTACACAACGGACTTGTACGATACGTTGTAATAAAAAGCCCAACCTCGGCCTCCGGCCTCGGTCGGGAAAATGTAGGACTGAATTTTGATTGTTTTATTCTATAATTGTTAATATGTAATGATTATGGAATTATTGATTAGCAAACTTTACTGTAAAGTCTGTCATATGACGAACTACTACTCTTCTGTATATCCGGCGAAAATCCTTACCTTGTGTCTGACCGGCGAAAATCCTACCCTCAGTCTAACCGGAGGAAATTCCTACCCTGTGTCTAACCGGCGAAATACCCTTCCCTTTTGTCTGACCGGCGGTATTTCATACTCCTTTTGTCTATCCGGCGAAAATCCTACCCTTTGGTCTGACCGGCGAAAAACCCTGCCCTTTTGTCTGACCGGCAAAATCCAACCCTCTGTCTCACCGGGGAACCACTTACCCCTGTCTGACCGGCGAAAATCCCTAACTCCGTGTTTAACCGGCCTCAATTCTGTGCTCTTAAAACTGTCCGCATTGCTATAAATTCTGTCAGTATTGCGTCCGAATTTGACTATTATTTTTACGGAACCATCCGAAATGCCGAAATTTCCATACCTGAAAACAATTTAGTAAATCGTCCGTATTGCTAAAATTTATTTAATTAAGGCGATGGACCAGTTTGTAAAATACCAATTTTATAGCTACTTCGAAAATTGTTTGTGCACCTTGGTTTGAGCTGTTTTCGGAGTGTATGGGTTCATTAGAAAGCTCATAAATCGCGCTTTTAATAGACATAGTTTCAAAATCAACACTAATAGCATAAACGATAAATTTTTCTGTTGTGTGAGCATTAAAAAATCTAAGCCAAGCACCAGATGGAACATCTTCAGGTCTGATGTTTTCAAATGGAACTTAAAATTATTTCACACACTGGGTTTATTCAGAAAAATCTTGAATAAAAAGCTAGGAAGATACAAGTTTTGAACATGGAACTAATTCTTCTTACGGAGAAAATCACTGAGCGTTGGAGTTCGAATGACTATATCGCAAACCAAGAAAACCCAGTGTGTAGAATAATTTTTTCTTTCCAATGGTACCAAGGACGACCAATTCCATTGCGGCAGTGGAATGCAATACGCGTAAAACTCTCCGAACTTTACTTCCAGTAAATCAAGGTTTTCAGGTTTTGCAAATGGTCCCTGCATCGGTGGACCAGTTTGAGCAGACAACCACGCTACCTGCAGGCTGCGCATGGCGTTCATGAAATCGTCGCCTGCGCACGGCTGCAGCGGTACCTAATACGCAGCCCGCGTGCGGTTGGGTATGCTTCGATTGAAACTGTGATGGCAGCTACGTGAATCGAACCGTGCTGCTGCACCCTCCGTCGTTTTGGACCCGCGGTACCTTTTGGTTTAGACGGATTTGGGTTTCTGTTCTGTTCTTTGCTTCTCAAAAGACTTCTCATTTTAAAAGCATTTTTTCTGTTCTAGAAAATGTAGTTACAACTTCTCTGGGATGAAGCAAAACCAGTCTATCCTTAATAATCCATAATAATAGTAATTCACTCAAAATAATTCTTCCTCCACTAATAATCACTAGCATACCGCGAATTGTTAAAATAAAAAATGTCACGTGCGAAAACCGAAGTCACTGTGCATATAAGCAGAAAAATACGCAATTAATTTCATGAAATTTGGTGTCTGGAACTTCAAGTAACTTTCTACCAAAATCTAAGACGCAGCAATGATGTTTCCATTATATGTAAGTTACCCGTTGGCTTACAGTTAATCGCGTTATACTGTTGCCCTTTCCTCTTTCCGCCAAAGAAATGATAATGTACGAGTACTATCGCTCTGCCAGTTACAAAATTTCGACAAACAGGCGTATTAAGTTTTACTGATTACTGATGTACCGTAGTTTTTATGTCTCAGTTTGCCACGCTGTGTCAGCAGTTTCCGCTCGAAATATGCGCATTTCCGCCAATCCACTAATAATTACTTTATGATAAGCCAATCAGCAAAATTCGTTTTGGTCGTGTTTCGTAATTCGAAGGAAAAGAAGGTCGAAAAACTAAAGTTATAGGGACAAACTACAGGATTTTAGCCGTTTTTTAAGCTATCGAACGAAATTCTGCGCCGGACAGTGTTGGAGGAAAAGGGAGAAAAAAAACGGCGGAGTTAGGATTGTATATATAATAATAACTCGAACGCTGATTATTATTTTATTCGCATAATATTGAATTCTGAACAATACTTAAGTTAACCGACAGGAAGCCAATATTATGCGAACAAAATAATAATCAGCTTTCGAATGATTATTATCGTACAAAGTAGGAAAATTTACATAGTTACGATGCAGGCATCAATTACTCAGTTTTGATTACTGTAATCTTGTGTTATTATTATTCTCCAGTTAATAAATGCATTATTTGTACTGTAGTAGTCCAAAAATTATTGCTGAAAAATTTGTTCATAGTGTCCTCTTCCGAATTATCAAAAAAACCAACATTCCACAATTTGTAACATCTGGAGTGCGGGATGGATATCGATCGTACTTCAATAGTGACGCCGGCAAGATAAAATGGCTCTTGGTTTTAAGCGCGTTAATTAACGTTGGCCCTGGAAGGAAATGCTAACAATTTTTGTTGCAAATATTATAATCTCGATTTTGCGAGCTGGCTGACCGATTCTACGTCATCGCGGCACCGCCGCTAGTATCTTGATATGTGTGAAAGCATGAATGATTACGACAGACTTCGCGAAGTATGCGCAGACATTCAACAGAGCAGACTTTCGACATGTATCCCGCATACACGTTTGTAAATATATATTTGGAAGTTTTTGTCTGTCGCAAGTTTCTGTTTTTTGTATGCGCATACGCGAAGTATGAATATACCTTAGCAAAGAAAAAATAGCACCGGAAATCTGGCAGTGACCGTGATTTTCTTCGATTGACCTTATGGCCACCTTGTCATAGGTAAGTCATTGACTGCTCAAGTGGTCGTTCACGTTTGTCCATAATTATCTGCACAGAAAACTGAAGAATGTTTTCTTAATAATTAAATCAGGTGTTGGCGTTCTTGCTGTTTGATTGTAGTGGAGATGTTTAGTTTATGACAAGCGCTAAATTTACTTACCTTTGAAATATGACGGTAAATATGCACCGTTTGGATAACATTAATTATTAGCGTTGTAAATAGTTTATTATGGTACGAGATTGATTTGTGAATTTTTGAAAACGCTTCAAGTTCAAGTTTAAAATCAAGTTCAAGTCATCAAAGTAGCGGAGGGTATGCCTCGAGCCTTCGAAACATGAATTTGAACTTGCAAAAATGAACTTTTCCAAGCTTCAGTTCAAGTTGGAAGGCCCTCCAACTTGAGCTACTTTCAGATTGTTGCCGTTTGTGAACGGCCGAATTATAAACTTGAACTATAGCAAATGTTTAGAAGAAAAAACATTTTTCTGCAACTTCTTTGCCTATCCGCAAGTTTAGTTTGTAATGGTTTAGACACTAACGGTGATCAACGGAGAGGACCGATTTCTTGATTTCTGTCGTGGAACTGACACCAATTAACCGCTGGGTGCGGCAGTTACCCACTTGGCTGTAGACAGACGCTGCAAAGCTTTGTGCTGTCATAATTACTTCACCTCTTTGCGAACACTAGGCAATTGTAAGGTAAAAGATAGAGAAAAATCTAGCAATTTTTTTGAATGCACGGAAGGCCGTTTCTGTTCACAATGAATCCCTGAAGGTTTAGTTGAAATTAGCATGGTACCCTATGGACGGCGGAGTACTCGCACACCACCACTTGTAGCTCTAGCTCGTAGGTCCCTATGGTAATTTTAAGAACGGATAAAAACCTTTGTTCTCCATCAAATCTTCCTCCCGTGGTATCAAAAAACACTTCAGAATTTTCTCATGGGTGTAGTCTAAACTTTCATGAGATGTGAAAAGCTAAAGTGATGCCTAAGGATCCTGAAACCAGTCATCAAATTTTCGTAAGGCAGCACCGCTACCGCGTGCAGGCGACGGTTAGGAAAATTCATGAACTTCAGTTTGGTTTGCTGCGTTTCGAAAAGTCATAAGTGCTCAAGTTAAACTTAAAACACATGGTTGACTTCAAGTTGCTAACTTGTATTAGAACTTGTGTCTGAATTTGAAGTGGTTTCGAAAAGTCCCAATTGATTTATATCTGCAACTTAATCTCGTAAAGGCACGGGATTTTTTCGATCGATTTGCACTGGAAAATGAGAGAATTAAATGCAGATTTGAGGAGATGGTCTGTGGTTTCGACCTATTGATGTCTAATGAAGCTGTTAGTCGATTGAGCGCCAAAGTTGCTTTCAAGGGAGTGCACACGAACGTAGGGCTTTTAATTTGTTATCGATTTGTTAATAATTATCGTTCTTAACTCTGAGACACCAGACGTGTCTGAAAAAGGCCTGGGTGAAAAATTGGTTATTGATTAATCCTGATAAAATCAGCTGATGAGTGCCAAGGTTTCAGATTTTGCCAATTAACCCACCAACGCCGGGTACCAGAAGGAGTGGGAATATTGATTCGAAAATTGGTATTCCTCGATCAAATAATTCAATTAAGAAAAATAATTTTTTGTGGAATTTTTGTGACCATAGGTCAAGCAGAGAACCACGATGCCAAAATGGCACGCATGGGAACTGAGCCAAAAGGCACAGTACAGTTTAATGTAAATAGCAATTAACAGAAAAATCGCATCGAAACTTGGTGTAACTTAAATAAAAGACCTCAAAAAGCGTTATGCAACTGAATGAGACGAATGGTCAGCAAGATGACCAGTGGTCAGCACAAATAAAAAATGACCTAAACCACCTATCTGAGCTGGCATACCGTGAACACGACATAAAATGCTGCGCATACTGCCAAAAACCAATTTGACACCCAGGGATCTAGGAAAACAGCATCAGGCACAGTATGCGATCGGTAGAACAAGTTAAGTCGAAGGGAGCACGTACTACAACAAACTTTGTGGTGCTTCAGCCGGTCTGAATGTTGCAGAAATGCTTGCAGTACAATGACCCTGTAGTCATGGGCTACACTCGCTGCAAACACACGCTTAAGCCATTTAAGGGCCTCCAGGTTTTTAGTCGTTCCTCTGTTGAGGAACGAAACAGTTTGCGTGTTGTCGGACAGCACCAACACTTTCGCCCCTTGTAAATACGGGGCGCAAATTATTAGGCGAATGCAAGCAGCGATTAACTCCAAAAAATTAATGTTTTGTTGGATCGAATTATGCACGTCCGGCGGCGGTAACCAGTTCTGTTCAAACCCCGAGGGGGGATATTTGAACATGCGGTGCCCCAAGTTCCGGCGAGCCAGATGCCATTAACCACCGCACCAAAGCCGGTAAAGGACGCATCCGTGCAAACCGTAACCAGTGTTCGAGGAATGGGCACGGACAAAGGCCGTTAAAATCGGAAGCGAGCTGCTCCCACCAAAGCAGCTCGTGGCGTAAAAGCCGGTTGACCTTTACCTTATGCCAAGGCTTCTTCAGCAGAGAAAGTTCATCAATAAAAATTCTTGAGAAAGTACGGGCACCGTAAATCGCTTTGGATGCAAACGACATGTGCCCGACTAACACCAGCAGTTCTTTTTTTTGAAATGAACTTTGCCTCTTGATGAACTTTAACCAAACACAACAGTTTCTCAAGCTTGTCAACTGGTACCTCCAGCCGCTGAAAAACGGAGTCAATAATTAGCCCCAGAAAGGTTATGCGTTGGCTTGGTCCAACTACTTTCTCCCATTTGGCAGAAAAACCAAGCCTCGTCAACAAATTTAAAAAGAACAGTAATGCCGCGTTACAACTTTCGTAATCTTTGCCAATTAATAGAAAGTCGTCCAAGTAACAAACCACTAAAAACCCACGCTTGCGCATTATTGTTGCTAGCGCACGCGATATTTTTTGAAATATTGCCGGTGCATTCGCAACCCGAAACACAAACATCGGTCGACGTAATATTTTTCAGGTTCTCCTTTGAACGCCCAGCGAAAACCTTGCAGCTGCCACTGTGTCGGGTGAACCGGCACCGAGCGGTAAGCTGCTTTAATATCTACTACTGCGAAATAGCAATTAGGTGTTCCTAATCGCAATGCATCGTCAATAGATTCAAAACAAAATGGCTCAGCCTCAATAAAAGAATTCAAAGAATTATTAATAGGACGACTGCAATCAGTAATAGCCTACTAATAGGCCTAACAGAGCCAGTCTCCTTTTTAGGGACAGCTCCTATGGCTTGTATACGCAGAGGCTTCTCTTTCTGCTCCTTAATGCGACCTACTTGCAGCTCTTCGCGAAAAAGCCTATCCAAGACAGGCTTCGTCTCGTCACTAAGAGCGCTGGGTAATTCTTGCAATCGGCTGGCCCGATTGCATTCCAGTCATTAACAATACGAAATCCTTCACGATACCGTTTAGAATAAAATCAGCGTCATCGACGCCAAAGAGCTCGGTGACCCAGTTGGCATAATTCCGGGTCAAACAACAAAATTCCATTAATTCTTCAGACGGCAGACCGGCTGACTCTGAGTTGCCAGAGTTGCACGGTGCCAAACAGTTAAACTGCGTTTCGGTTAGAAGCACCGGCACCGGTGTGTCCGGTGTCGCGATGTTCACGGAAATTGTGCCCTCGCTTACCACACTCTCCACAGACGTGGTTGAAAGAGCAGGAAGCTGCAGAACGGGGGCAGTTACCTTCTTGGAAGGCAAAACAACAGGCAAATCTGTAGCGGCTCGTAATCGAGCCACCGCGCCCGCGAAAAAGCTGCTGATTACCGCGTCACGGCGGTTGCCGGCATGAAAGTGCTTAGCGCCGATACTGTTACGCTGTTGGAAATCGTTAAGCGAAAACTGTTCTTCCTTAGCGGAATGTCGAAAATCGTGGTCAAACGCCATTACTGTTTTGTCATCAAAGTTACACCGCATTGGATAAAAATTCATTATACTCGAGATGTTCAAGCAGAGTGTGGGCGTACTCTCCTGACAAGGTCTTACACAATTTAACTGCAGTTCGCCAGCTGTGAACAGCGAATTCATCAAGCGATAAATCGGATGGCGACACCGTACTACTCTTGGCACCCGGCTTGGGGCAAGCCAGTTCATGCGGACGTTTCAGGTTGCGCGCTTCCGTTGGGAAGTGGCCACCACCGCACTCGGATGACTGTTGTTTGGCGCTCTCACCAGAACTAACAGAAATCACACTCAAAGAGCGTGCAAGCTTTTTATCGCACAACTCACCTCCAGGCGTTGGAGTGCGGAAGGGGCGCTCTGGCACAGGAACGGGGCCCGGCTGCCGGTGACCTTTCGCGCTTTGCCCTCTGCCCGTGCCACGCTGTCGGCTGCTACTGCGGGATGATGACCCGGAACGACGAGACCCAAATTTTGCAAGTTACAGCAACATTGCAGTGGCAATTAAACGCGGTAGACACGTGCATACGGTAATGCTTATATATGGTCGCCTGGCTGTTGGCATGCATTCTCACATTAGTGAGTGGATCCTGATAGGTTAACAAGGCACAGAAGGGGCATGATAACAACCAGCATTCAAGACAGACATGAACACGATACACTGCACAAAAGAGACGCGTCATCACCGTACAATAATACTTAGATTACCGGCGTAATCTATCCCATTATTGTTTTGGTGAGACGCTACGATTTCACAAAGGGGGTGATTTTATAATCGCTAACCGAACAACAACACGGCAGAACAACCTCTGAACAAGGAAGGAGAAAAAAGAAAATTTTGCAAGTTACAGCAACATTGCAGTGACAATTAAACGCGGTAGACACGTGCATACGGTAATGCTTATATATGGTCGCCTGGCTGTTGGCATGCATTCTCACATTAGTGAGTGGATCCTGATAGGTTAACAAGGCACAGAAGGGGCATGATAACAACCAGCATTCAAGACAGACATGAACACGATACACTGCACAAGAGAGACGCGTCATCACCGTACAATAAGACTTACATAACCGGCGTAATCTTTCCCATTATTATTTTGGTGAGACGCTACGATTTCACAAAGGGGGTGATTTTATTATCGCTAACCGAACAACAACACGGCAGAACAACCTCCAAAAACCCCCAAGAAAAAAATCGGAAGCCAGAAAGGCAAAATGAATAGAGAAGGGCAACTGGATGGTGAATAGCAGCTCAGCGAAGGGCTTCCCGCATGGCTTGACAGAATTCCAGGCGATAGTCGACGTCCCGACGCACATACTGCTGATAGCAGTCGCTTTTCCAGTGTCCCTGGGCTTTTAGTGATGCGGTGGATATCCCCACTGATGCGGAAAATGTTGCGGCTCCACTGAGTAGTGAATGGGCGGATATGCGGGAGGCGGGAAGGCCGGCGCGGTGGGCGCACGAGGATAGAAGGTTGTTGTAAATGCTAGAACACATGGGCATTATTTTCCCATTATCAAAATAGGAAAACAGGGCGCTTTGGGGCGTGCTTGGTGTAGATTCCAGCAGCCTGCGCAATGCCGTAACAGGACAAAGCGGATTCTTCTGTCCCAGTGTATAAACCGGTATGGTGATCGTTTTCTGTTGAAAGCGATCTGTTTTCAAAACTTTAACTGACAGAAATGCGCCTTGCTGAGTAAATTCAACGTCACCGGCGAGCAGGTGACAACCCGCATTGCTTGGGAAAAGGTTGGCGCTGCGCAAAAGTGAGGAAAATTCAACCACAGTGGCGGCCCAAAAACAGCGGCGATATATTTTGTCAACAGAACTTAAATGCACATAGATTTGTAGCAAATCCGCGGGCAACAGCGGATCTCGCTTGTTTGGCAGTTCAGTGCGAATGCGCTGCAGGCCTGACAGGGCCTGCTTAATAGAGAAATGGTTTAAATCGGGTGGAATAAAATTGTTAAATGTATGAAACGAGATCAAACTGGCAACATAATTTTTAACTGTTGAAAATTCTAAAGTTTTCGACAAATGCGCAATATAGAGGGCTACAGTTTCCTCACTAGCTGGCTAGGCGCGCAGTTTATACTGCGTGCAGAAGGTCACGAAAGTCTTCCACTGCGAGGCCCGCGTTTTCGATGTGGTGATTGCCATCGATTTAATCCGGAGATCGGATAATTTACGGCGCAGTTTGGAAACTGCAACAGCCACAAAAAGGCAATTTAGGGCCAGGAAAACTGATTTTAAAAAATTCAAAAAAGCGAGATTTCTGCTGCAGAGCTTCTGTTAAGCGGCTGAGAGCATCCGCGACACCACATTTTTTACACCAGCCGAGTGTGTAGCCATGACCCTGTAGTCATGGGCTACACTCGCTGCAAACACACGCTTAAGCCATTTAAGGGCCTCCAGGTTTTTAGTCGTTCCTCTGTTGAGGAACGAAACAGTTTGCGTGTTGTCGGACAGCACCAACACTTTCGCCCCTTGTAAATACGGGGCGCAAATTATTAGGCGAATGCAAGCAGCGATTAACTCCAAAAAATTAATGTTTTGTTGGATCGAATTATGCACGTCCGGCGGCGGTAACCAGTTCTGTTCAAACCCCGAGGGGATATTTGAACATGCGGTGCCCCCCAAGTTCCGGCGAGCCAGATGCCATTAACCACCGCACCAAAGCCGGTAAAGGACGCATCCGTGCAAACCGTAACCAGTGTTCGAGGAACACCGAATGGGCACGGACAAAGGCCGTGCCCTTCAGCTCCTGGAGGCTCACCTGTTCACCGACAACGAGCCGATTGCCAGAGTGGTGGATTTGTTAAAGCTGGACCAGACGTGCCTGGAGGAACTGGAATCGGAGGGCGTCACAACCAGATCCATTCTGCTGACCCTGGGAGAGTCGTCTCAGTTTCCAGACAACTTGAAGTTCCTTACCCGCATCGGGGTGCGTTGCATCGTGGAAAAGTTCATTCGTGCCGGTTTATCCTCCCAGAAGCCATCGAACACTCTCTCCACTGGATACAAAGAGTCTCGTCATTCCGGGTCATCATCCCGCAGTAGCAGCCGACAGCGTGGCACGGGCAGAGGGCAAAGCGCGAAAGGTCACCGGCAGCCGGGCCCCGTTCCTGTGCCAGAGCGCCCCTTCCGCACTCCAACGCCTGGAGGTGAGTTGTGCGATAAAAAGCTTGCACGCTCTTTGAGTGCGATTTCTGTTAGTTCTGGTGAGAGCGCCAAACAACAGTCATCCGAGTGCGGTGGTGGCCACTTCCCAACGGAAGCGCGCAACCTGAAACGTCCGCATGAACTGGCTTGCCCCAAGCCGGGTGTCAAGAGTAGTACGGTGTCGCCATCCGATTTATCGCTTGATGAATTCGCTGTTCCCTTCGCTGAGCTGCTATTCACTGGCTGACGGATTAATTTAAATCCCGCCAGCCAGTTAGGTTTTTTAGGTGTAGTTCTTCTATTTTTAGCTTAATTCCACCGAAATACGATGCAGATTAACAGTTAAGTTTTTCTCAATCTGCTGATACCAACATCATCGAAAACCATCCAGTGTAAGCCATGGTATCATCAAATGATCATCTTTTGGAGTTCTGCCACTTGAACGTGCAGGGTTTTGGCTATGCTAAACTTGACCTGATTTCTCAGTATCTGTGTTCTGACGACGGCATTTCTAAATTTTTCTCCCTCACCGAAACACACCTCGGTAGTAAGGATCCGGAACAGCTGTATTTTATCCCTGGATATACTATTTTTCGAAGTGATAGGCCTTCCTTCACGGTAAATCTTCTGGCGGCGGTATTGTGAGCTATGTACCTGAGTATATCCCAGCTGACCGCATTGAATGTAAATTTCGCAGTAAAGGCTTTGAGTGTTTGTGGCTTAAACTCAAAATTTCGAAGAGAAAACTTGTCATTGTTACTGTATATCGCCAACCGGATTCTAATGCTGAAGAAATAAAGCTTTATTTGAACATATGCGGGAGGTACTCCTCAAGTACCCGGACTGCGATCATATTGTTATGGGAGACCTGAACATTGACAGCTCGTCGAAGTCCACCAGCCCGTATCTGCGTTTATTAACCGAATTTGTCGATGAATTTTCGTTTGAAAACAAGGTGGTCGGATACACTCGAGTTGATCAGCGCTTGAGAAAATCTGACAATACCCTTTTGTCGAGCACCAGTAAGATTGACTATATATGGTGCAATCCAAAAAATTCGTACCGGTCGTGTAACGCAGAAGACGTAGAATTTTCAGATCATCGGCTGTGCAAAACAGTTTCTGCATACCCATGCAAAAAACTAGAGCACAAATATGTTTTTTTTCGAGACAGGAAAAAGACGACGTTTGATAACTTTCGTACACAAGTCGCGGAATTTACCAGTCAGTATGTCAATTATGTTGATTACGATAATGTCGATGAAGAAGTTGGTCGTTTTGTTAGCGGTTTATTTGCGATAATCGATAAATGCTTTCCTATTAAATCAAAAAGAATTTCGAAAAGAGATGCTCCGTGGCTTAATGAAAAAATTTACGCTTGATAAGAGACAAAAATGCTGCTTACAAACGTAAAAAAATGTCGAAAAATACGTCGGACTTCCAAGGTAATAATCAGCATTTTAAACATCTGAAGCGCGAGTTGTATCTGTCGATCAAAAACGCCAAGCAGCGTTATTTTTCGGAAAACCGCAATAATTCCGCCCTGGTTTGGCGCGAAATCAATAAGCTGCTAAACAAAAGCAAGCCTAATAATAATGTCCCATTTGATTTGGATGAACTGAACGAAACGTTTGCTCGCATGGGTGAGCATGGCACTGAACCCACACCAACATGTGTGCCTGAGGAAAACGCCTCAGCTGTTTTTGAATTCAAAACTGTTACAGCGGAAACTGTGTCCGACATCTTCCAAAAAATTTTGTCCAAAAAACGAAGCGCCGGTCCGAATGGAATACCGCAGAATCTATTACATAAAATCTTTCCGTTATTGGTCGTTCCTATGACCAGTTTAATTAACCAGTGCTTTGTTAAGAATACGTTCCCTACTATTTTTAAAATGGCAGACGTGATAGCACTGCCAAAATTTCCCAACCCGACATCTGCAAATGAGATGAGGCCGATCTCCCTGTTATGTAATCTGTCAAAAGTATTCGAAAAAGCAGCACAAATGCAGCTGGTTAAATTCTTAAAAGAACGAAACGTGTTGTCGCCTAACCAATCTGGATTTCGCAACGGACATTCGTGCAAAACGCTGCTGCTAAAAGTAACGGAAGCATGGAAAAAGGCCGTTGATAAACGAAAAGCTGTTGCAGTTTTGTTCCTTGATTTAAAAGCTGCGTTTCCGTCAGTCTGTCACAATACGCTGCTGATAAAACTCCGAGATATCGGAGTAAAATCATCAGCGTTGTCATGGTTTCACTCCTACCTGAGCGGCCGGCTGCAGCGAGTCCGAGATGGAAAGCGTATAAATATGTCACAATGGACGGAAGTAAAAACGGGTGTTCCACAAGGATCGTTGTTTAGCCCGAACCTTTTCTCTGTTTATCTTAATGATTTTTTGAAAACTCGATTCGGTGATGTGCAACTAGAAAGCTTTGCGGACGACACCATCGGTTATGTTACTGCCGATAACAAGGCGGAAGCAGCAGTTAAGCTAGAAAGTGCACTCCCCGGAATAATAGAGTGGTTGAGCGCTAACCACCTTGTCATTAACGAGAAGAAGTCGAAGTTGATGTATGTTTTTTCTTCACGCAGTAATGAGAAGATAAAACCAGCAGTCGTGCTGAATGGTCATAAGCTCGAACCAGAAACATCCGTTAAGCACTTGGGAGTGATAATTGATCAGCACTTAAAATGGACCGAACAGTTTAATAAGGTCCAGAAAAGTGTTAGTCATGGAATTGCTCTCATAAATCGTGCGAAAGACGGTCTGTGCGATTCTCAACGCATTGGACTTTTCTACGCGTTCGTCCAGTCTCGTCTCGACTACTGTTCTACAGTGTGGAGCAGCGCGTCTGTGTCCTTGCGCGAGAAGCTTGCGGTTGCACACCGTAACGCTGTTCGAGCAATTGCAAACTACCCGAAAACGCCAGTGAATCTACTGATGAATCGTTTTGGAATTCGCCCGCTGTTCACGCGGTGGCGGCACCAGGAGGCCATCTGGCTGTACAAGATTAAACACCCGGTGCCGTTCAACGTACCAGCGTACCGTACCGATATGGTCGATCTTGGACCGAAACGGAAACCATACAGCTTGCGCAACGCCGATCAAGTGACCATCAAGACCAGAGTGGCAACGAAGTGTGGGGAGACAACGCTATCCTGGAGACTGGGAAAACTTCTGGATAAAGTTAACGATTACGGCAGTGATATTCTTGGTTTACCTACGCTTGGCTGTTTTAAGAGCGCTCTGTACGTAACTAATTTCTTTTAATTCGTTTTTGATCAATCGCTTTTTGGTGTATTGTTTTTTGTATCGTATTTTTTGTATAGTGTCTCTCTCATTGATGTCCTTTTCCCTTTCATTGATGATACTCTATTTAGCGATTCTCCAGCCAGGTTTAAAATCCCATGCTAGATGTCATCCTAGCCGGATATGGGCTACCTGCACTGACTCAAATTAGATTAAATTAAATTAAATTAAATTAAATTAAATTAAATTAAATTAAATTAAATTAAATTAAATTAAATTAAAAGCTATCGCCAACGTGCAAGAACTTATTAACGTACCCTGCGACCGGCAACCAGGCCACAAACTGGACAGCACTCAGTACTGTATAGGGACGTGTCCACTCCAAGTAGCAGTTTTGGCAGACTAGATTTACAATTAGGTTTTATTATTATTAACCCGGATCAACAATCTGCACACAATCCACTAATACTGTGACAGCAAAACCGGTTGCAGAAATTGACAATAATCGTGAACTGACCGGACGTCTTCGTATATGCGGTGTTGAACGCTTTTGAGTTTTCTGCTAGCGTTTACCTGTTTTGTACACTTCCTGTTCAAGCTCTGCAATTTTTTTTAATTATATAAGCAGGCCGGATTACAGTAAGCGGCATGCTCCTAATAAACGTTAAGAGTAACAAAACTTTTTCACAAATTCACGTAAGTTCATGAGAAGCTGAAAACACAAGCGAGTTACACAGCAACATCTACAAACACAGGCGGGCGAATAACAGAAAAGATTTCGTCTAGCTCTGCAAAGTATGCTCACTATGCAGTACAGATAAAACGCGTCATAATTCAATATCTGCGAGCAACAGACATCATATAAGCGGTTTAAAAGGCTCAAGCTGTCTGCCTACCGGTCATGCTCGCGCCATATCCGATACGACATTAGAAACCATCTAAGAAAAGTTTGATTTTATATCTTTACTGCACATTTTTGGATATCAAAGCTGAGCGCTGAAAAATCTAGGAAACAGCTTTTATAAGCAATGTTTTTGTCGAATACAGCATCATTTTCAGTACTGATATACAAATACTACTTAATAGTAAGTAATTTTTCCGATTTTTTTACCCTGGGTGACCAGTGGTCACTTCGATGACCACTAAGTCATCTTCGTTAAAACGAGCTGATTTAGTGTGGTTTTTTGATTGTTCGTGACAATCTTTACCTTACTGCAGTAATTTTATGCAGAATTTTTAAAATTTCGGCATACAATAGCATCAAACCCATGCGTGTCAAATCTGGCACAGATTTTTTTAAGGACCGTAGACGGACGGTGTCCACCCATGCATGTATGACTTGCTCATTTTTTGACGAGGTTCTACGCAAACTTGCCGTGTGTTTTTTTGCATAATTTTCTGATGCAAGAGTCTTTGGGCCGGGAGCTGAGACCTCGGCGAACCCTTTCGGCTCGGTTTTGGTGAACTTCAGGCGCCCACTGGTCTCTACCAGTACTGGATTGTTTGGTGTCTAACTTTTTAAAATGTTTCTCAACATCTCTGGTTTACAATAAAATCGTGCAGACGTCTCATATTGCATGTTCTTCGGCTACAGAAAGCGAAGCTCGCCACTGTGCCAATTGGCATGCATGGTGTCGACCGGGTTAAATCGTACGGGATAGTCAAATTGAAACTACCTAACTCAACATCAGATTCCCGCTTCATACCAGCCTGTTAGAGAAGCTTTCCTTTTGGTTAGTTATAGACACCTCGCTAGTTACGGTTTTCTGTGGGGACTGAAGAGCGGCGTTTATGTTACTTTGCATCATGATTTTACGAGTACATCGACATGCACAGGTTTTACGGGAAACCATTTTCGAAATCTTTGGAAGAGAGATCGTCGTATTTTGTATCACGCTTCCGACATGTACGTAACACTGAAATTGTCAGTTCAAGCACTGTGATAAAATTCCTGTCCCGTATAAATATCATGATGCTTCATGTTGCCTAAAGTAATTTTCGTTGGTACCGTTTTGTGAATTCTGAGTAGCAGTTGTTTGCCGCGGTGCGGTAGACCTGGATGATGATCAGAGATCGGCTTTCTCCGTCAGCTCGCCCGTTACAGAATTCAAAAATTGGCAACTATCTGCAGCAATCATACTTAGTTAATTTTTATGTCTTTATATAGTCGTACGATCGTTTTGTTGTCACTGATTTGCAAAGTTCTGGGAATTTATTAGGGCCATCGCGGCAGCAGTGGTGACCATCCATTTCGCGATATCGAGGAGAAGTACGGAATAGCGGAAAATGGCGATACCGATTTGATTCCTCGTATAGATCGCGTTATTGACTATCTGAAAAATGAACTACGGAAAGAACTGAAGCTTAAGGAAGGCGCGGAGATCCGCAGAGTGACCACTGGCACTGACCGCAGCAGCTCCACACAAGCTCGCAGCACGGTCAAGAAAGTCCACATCATTCTGTGTTGCTGGAATTACAAAAAGACCTGAATGATCTTAATAACTTTCGGTTGTTTGTGGTCGGTGGGATTCAAAGCTTGGTATGTTTTTGAATGTTCTGCATTTTTGTTTTACTGCTGGGAGAGTGGATATTTTGCTGTATTATGGTTTCGTAACTTGAAGATATTTATGTTGTGGGCAGATGCGTCACCCCGTGTTATGCCTCGACGAGAACAAACGCTGTCTCAGGGAGATTCACTCGACAATCAGCACGAGTCCGATACCCACTTGGAGCATATTGCAGTTAGCGACAGCATGCGATGGTAAGGTGATGCAAGTTTGTAACTTGAGAAAGATTCGTCCAGCTGTTCGTACGTCAACGGCTGTTGATTTTTTCGGTTGTAACTTCGGCGACAATAATTACGGAAATTAACGGACGCCGATTCAGGTGAGAATAGAGGATTTATGTCATCGTTAACACGTGGAGGCGGCCGTTTGAGATGGTGCGCGGCCATCGCACCGCACCGCACCGCCGCCATCGCACTCGTCAGGTGCCAGCGAACACGAGCTTAGAGGCCGGCATTTTCCAACTCCATAACTTAATCGCGATGACAGACCCGAATGACGACTTAAACCGCCGTCACCTTCGCGGTTTGCGCTAACTGATTTATTTGATCCTTGAGTGCGTCCGTTCGTTCGTTACTGCGCTTACCGAATAGTAACCTGAAAAATATAAAGAGCTCGTCAAACGCAAATTTTATTTCAGTCGTATCAAACTGCACAGCCCAGACAGGATTTAACAGCCCACCTTATTTCTTACTGGAATGGCTTTAAAAGGATTCCATTTGTTTTCTTTTCAGATTGCTGAGCTTTTTCACAAGATGGCAATCGTTTTTCCGTTGTACAACGAAGAAGTTGCCACTGGACCAGACCAAAACAGTCGTTGTAAGTCAATCAACAACGCATGTTTTCGTTTGCCCCTGTGGCAATGGTTTTTTATTTTCTTAGGTCGCGGCAGCTTCCGGCCATCCAATCGAATCCCTACCACAAGGGACTAGCCCTGTAGTTAGGATGGCGCCTCCTGGAACACAGGTGTTGTTATTCCAGTGTGGGATCAATGTCCGCAATGAATTCGGCTAGGACAATGAATGGATTGGGTGTTCAGTTTAACTTCAGGCGGTAAATTTGCTACCGACTCAACACTAGTACTAGTACCGTCCCGTGAGAAAAATCAGCTTTATTTGTTTATATTTTTTTAACTGGATTTGAAGTTATTCAACGGCTCATTTGTATTTAAAATTTGCTTTTCTGGTTCTCATAGTTTATATGCAATCCTGCCATTCTGGCATCCTTGTCAGCAGTTTGCATCGTAACTTTTTTTCTTGCTCATAAAATAATTCACATGATCGTACAGCAATCATATCTGTACTTGTATAGGCATAATAACTGTACTGTACAGAGTAGTGCTATTGATTTTGGCAGTTAAGATAAAGCCGCTCTCTACGCATGCAGAGTAATTATGCCCAACAGCTATTGCAAACGTTTTGACATTAACCCGGCAGCGTCTTCTAGGTGCAAAAAGCACCACTAAAGTTCCTCAATTTTTACCAAACCAGAATAGTCGATATTATTGCAACTATGTATGCATTCGATAGAGCAAAGATTGCTCTTTTCACACAGTATTTTTGTTTTTTGTTGAAACGCACTAGAAAACAGCCACAGTGCTTAAAAAACACTGCAAAATTTAAGAAAAGTTCTACGAAGTGTATATAAATCAGCGATTATGCCAGAAGACTGATATTAAATTAGTATCAACTTCATAATAATATCTCGAAGCTCCAGTTATCCAAAAAAGTTTACAGCTCCAATGTAAAAAACAATGCATTTTCAAAAACAGCTGGTGCAAATTGCACCACTTGGGCATTGCCGGGTAGCAGTAACATGCTGCCTGAACAGGCAGAGTGATGAGAGCCGCATACTCATATGATGCAGCCGTTGCTCACTTATGAATAGTCGAGCATAACTCTGGCAGTTAGCTGATCGAATAACAAAGCAAATGAGGACACTTGATTGATTCTATAATTCAAAGAGCAGTAGAAAATCGTTTCCCTGATTATATTATAATGTTTTCTTCGAGTGATATAGGAACAATAACAATAAAAAGACGTTGTGGTTGAAGAGCCAGTCAACAATATGGCTGACCGTGCACAGTTTCGTGCACAAGTGAACTGGCGCAGCCCATACCGACCCTGTTACATACCGACCGGAAGTTGGAAATGTTTCAGTTTTAAATTCAGCTGTGAACCTGTGGACGATGAATTAATGCGCACAAGCTAACTATTACCAGGACCTATCAAATGCAAACAATTTCGAGTAAATCGGGCTGTCACAAAGTTGTGTACGAAGTAATTTGTTCCATGTCGCACAGGCAACCACCTTGCCCACACCATAGAAAAGCGCTGCTGTCATGCCCAAGTGGTGCAATTTGCACCTAGCCTTTAAATTTTAAACTACTGCAGCAAAAATTTTGAAAAAATTAATTTTAGTTCATTATATTATTGTTATTCGATGGTATGAATTTCAACTTCGACAAAAAACTCCTTGATACCCCGGGCACTGCCAGGTTAAGACCGTTTTGTCGAACAATAATAACATCTGTTCACTTCGTTAATTTTCGCATTTTTAACGATTCGTCACAGGCAAAGTTACAGCTCGGTAATGGATTAGCGCATATCATTTTATAAGATGGGAAAGGCCATAATCGAAACTCAAAAGGGCGTGGTAGTGATGAGAAATTTCTCATATCCTGGAAAACTGTGGGAAAAACATGGTGGGAAAAACACACATCTTGAACAAGCATTGGAAAAAACAAAGGCGGATTAGCAATTTAGCAGTGAGGGCACACCGACAGTTTTGCTGACCGACAAATTGCTAACGTCTTTTTGCTGATCGACAAATTGTTTACCCGTCAATTTGCTGAAAAGACAACTCGATAATAATTATCGACAAAATGCTGAACGACAGTTTGTTGAACACCGACACTGTGCTGACAACAATCTGGTGACATAAGAAAACGTAAAAAACAGCAGAAATCTAAACGAATCGCAAGGATAATTTAAGAAACTCCAGAAAACCTGGTGCGGACATGCTCCATACCCTAAGCGAGTTATGCAGTCATGACAAATTATGACTTTTCCAAAAAAATGCCGGTTTTTTATTTGGTATTTTTGAGTACAGTATTTTCGGATAAAATTTTTGGCTGCATAACAGGTTGCATAAAAAAATGCAGATTTTAACTTTAAAATGTAGCTAGCACATTGCCCTTTCAGAAACAAAATTGATCTTAAAAGCTTTTATGGTGTTGGTTAGAAATCTGCTTCAAAAACTTTGTTTGCCGGTTTCACGAGAATTACTCGTGCACCGGCGAGTCTGTTATTCGGCGCACCGGCCAAGCACAGTTGCACAGTGCAGTTCCTTACAGTAAAAAAAACGAGAAACTGATATATGATGTATGTTACTACATACTCATAACGCAAAAACACCGATTTCTAATGAGACTTTACTTCCAAGATGTTTCTAACTCGAATGAATCGTCGTGGTTTTGCAAGAACATACAAGCTATGAAATATGCATAAAAAAACAACACTGCCGAAAATCATCAACAGCGATCTAGAAAGCTGTTGTCTGTAATTTTACCTGATAAGCAAATGAAGGTCAGAAAAAAAACATTTGCGTGCTTTAATAAGTGCTTTTTATATAAATCTGTTTGACCATAGTTAATGTGTCCCCACTCCCCAGCACAAAAGCAGCTTTCTTCCAGTGCCGCCGATCCGATCCACTGCACATGCCCGGCACCTTGGAGACAGAATTGCGGTTTTATTTTTAAGGATTTATCCGCAGTTGCACGAGCACACGGAAGACATTTGACAATAAAACTGCATTTAATATCTGTATTTGCTCATACGTAACAAAAAACCCCATCAAAACGGCACACACATTATAGCTAGCAATGCACAGTCGGCTGAGTTGCAGTGGTGCAGTCCAGACCTGGGCAGTTATGGAAATTTGACCCATAGTTAGAGTTGCGAGTTAACTGCAGCGCGCGAGTTACGCTACGAGTTACGCTATTCAAATTAACTGGAGTTATGAGTTATAACGCGAGTTACGCTACAATAAAAAATCTTTACTTTATCAATAATTTTCAAGTAATCTCTTACCGGTATTACTATTATCAGATTTGCAACACAGATCGTTATTAACTCTGCAAAATAGCTGATTCTTAAAATTCCCATCCGTACAGCATATGCCCCTCTACATGCCAAGAAAGCTCTTTAGTATTTTTTAAAATGAGTGTGCGAACTGCGAAGCAAATGCACGCTCGGGTGATATGAAGAAGTTCTCGTTAGTGCATTTCACCCACGGGTGCTGCGTCAGATTTGAAAATCTTGCTTTTCGCTTCACTGTTTGCATATTTTACCGAAAATTGCTTACTGTATTACATTTTTAAATAACACTAATACGTATGTGATACGTCCCTCTAGAAAGTCTTCAGTCACATTCAGTCTGTTCACACTATAGCTAAAAAGTGCAGAAAAGTTTTTCATTGTGGAAAATAGAAAGTTTGTAAATAAAAGTTTAAGGAGAAACGAGATATCAACGCTCTTACGCTTTTTCCGTTTAGCATACTCCTGTATGGGGCAGTTTGCCATAAGCTTGTATGCTCAGCGCAATCAGTTTATGAAAAGCAATTAATATCTGAGATCTCGTTTCTTCGAAATCTTTTTACTTGCAAACTTTCTGTTCTCTACAAGATTTTGTTTTGCTTTTTTTTATGCTATAACCTGAACAGGTTCAACGAAAGTTATGAAACTGTAGGCTTCCGAAAAATACCGAACCTGCAGGTGCTGCCCAGTACGCAGCACAGTTGGCACACATATTTTTAGTAGCCGAAAGACTCGACTGGAATGCAGTGTACTGGCGGACGCCGCTAATATTCGATTAATGCACATCGCACAGACGTCAGTATAAAACCGATAAAAAACCATGGTGGCCAGTGCCTATGGCGGTCGTCGTGTACTACAACAGCTGGAACTGTTTTATTTGTGCCTGCTTGTAGAAGTACCGAAAGTCAGTGCAACCCAAGTCGAAAATAATTTCCATTTTAATACTCGTATTTTCTATACTTTTGAGCTAATGATTTTATTAGTAACTTGAAACGACAGAGTTACGCTACAGTTACGTTGCGTTAAAATGTTTTCGAGTTACGTTAGAGTTAAGTTTTCGTTCTAGCGAGTTACGCTTCAGGGTTACGTTATAACTCGATAACTTGAAAATAACTCGCGTTAAGTTATGAGTTAAGTTATAACTGCCCAGGTCTGTGCGATACTTTTAATCTAAAAATCGTTCTTGATCGATCGTCATACTAAAAAATGTCGCGTACTTCTTACTGCCGGAAAAGCGGATTACGGTTAGCTACAAGGCTGTCCAAAACCACGGAATCGACTGTGCCCTTTACGTTTTAGCGTTGGCGCACGAGCTGCTCACTAGAATTGACCCACAGGAGAGTACCTTTTCTGGAAAGACCTTGAGGGAGTGGGTAATAACATCATTCGAAGCTAAACGTGTGCAAAAACTCAAACACCGTCCCGGCAGGGCGCCGGGCGGCCGAACGAATAAAACCGAAAAAATCGCTAACTATAACGGAAGCGGTGGCTAACGAGTTGTATCAAAAAAGGGGAGCCCTCAGCCAGACCGAGACAAAAGAGCGGTCTTTTTTCCGCCCGTATTTAACAATTGCTTGATTTTCGTTCAAAACAGTGGTATGCAGAACTCGGGTGTTGTGCACTCTGCTCTTGGTGGTGTCAGGAGATTTAAGTGGTTTTTGTAAAAAAATTAAAAAATAATAAAAAGGGGTGTGCGGAGCCTGGCGGTGGTGTTTCGTGGTGTGCGGAGACTTTGGTGGTGAAACGTGGTGTGCGGAGCCTTCCCCATAACAAAATTACTACTAAAATTAATTCCTACCAAACCATAAGTAAATAAGACCGTTTCAACCAGGAAATCTACCGTTTTATTCTAATCTGGGTTTGTTTCTTAGAGACCCTAAATCTGAGTCCTTTAATTCGATGTTTTTCAAATTCTCAAAAAGAACTAAGATTCAAACAATAGTTGTATTATTAAGTACAGGCTGACCTCAGGGCGGATGTGGTCGTAGTATGCGCCTTGTCATAAAGCACTAGTAATCTGAATCCAGTGAGCGGCAAGGTTGGCGCAGCAGCCGGCGAAAATTAGTCTGATCGGCTAGAAAAGGAACAATCAAAAGCAATTAGATTATCTCTAGCGTACTAATTACGCGTCAGACAAAATAGACATATTAGACTTTACCTGTTCACGTTTTCTGTTCCGCAGTCGAAATTTAAATATTCCATTATTTTGCGCGGAAAAATTTGTTTGTCAGGAGTTGGTGGTTGAACGAAAACTCGCGCGAAGCATGATACTCAAACTAACACTTGCTCTACTGGCTTAGAAAACAACGAAGCGGCATTGAGAGT